AGACTAACAGTGACACTACGTAGAGAGAGACACAGCGGAGGACAGGAGAAGCTGTAGACTAACAGTGACACTACGTAGAGAGGACACAGCGAGACAGGAGACAGCTGTAGACTACAGTCGACACTCACGTAGAGAGAGACCACAGCGAGACAGGACAGCTGTAGACTAACAGTGACACTCACGTAGAGAGAGACACAGCGAGACAGGAGGCAGCTGTAGACTAACAGTGGACACTCACGTAGAGAGAGACACAGCGAGACAGGAGACAGCTGTAGACTAACAGTGACACTCACGTAGAGAGAGGGGAAACAGCGAGACAGGGAGACAGCTGTAGACTAACAGTGACACTCACGTAGAGAGAGACACAGCGAGGACAGGAGACAGTGTAGACTAACAGTGACACTGTAGAGAGAGAACAGCGAGACAGGAGGGACAGCTGTAGATAACAGTGACACTCACGAGAGAGAGGCACAGCGAGGCCAGGAGACAGCTGTAGATAAACAGAGACACTCACGTAGAGAGAGGCACAGCGAGGACAGGAGACAGCTGTTGACTACAGTGACACTCACTAGAGAGAGACACAGCGAGCAGGAGACAGCTGTAGACTAACAGGACACTCACGTAGAGAGGAGCACAGCTAGACAGGAGGACAGCTGTAGATAACAGTGACATCAAGTAGAAGAGAGGAAACAGCGAGACAGGAGACAGCTGTAGACAACAGTGACAATCACGTTAGAGAGGACAGAGAGACAGGAGACAGCTGTAGATAACGTGACACTCACGTAGAGAGAGACACAGAGAGAAGGAGACAGCTGTAGACTAACAGTGACACTCAAGTAGAGAGAGCACAGCGAGACAGGAGACAGCTGTAGGACTAACAGAGACCTCAGAGAAGGAGGCACAGCAGACAGGAGACAGCTGTAGACTAACAGTTGACACTACGTAGAGAGAGACACAGCGAGGACCAGGAGACAGCTGTAGAATAACAGGAGACCTCCGTAGAGAGAGACACAGCGAGACAGGAGACAGCTGTAGACTAACAGTGACACTACGTACAGAGAGACACAGCGAGACAGGAGACAGCTGTAGACTAACAGTGACACTCACGTAGAGAGAGACACAGCGAGACAGGAGACAGCTGTAGACTAACAATGACACTCACGTAGAGAGAGACACAGCGAGACAGGAGACAGCTGTAGACTAACAGTGACACTCACGTAGAGAGAGACACAGCGAGACAGGAGACAGCTGTAGACTAACAGTGACACTCACGTAGAGAGAGACTCAGCGAGACAGGAGACAGCTGTCTCGACGGTCAATGGTATAGTGTATAGCAGATTGTATAATAATAAATAGTATAAAATTGTAATGTTTAATACAATGTATAAGGCAATATATAGTATCGTAATTGTATAGTGAATATACAGCAGTGTGATATACAGTAGGGTGGATAGAATAATACATAGTGTAATATTACACTATGTATTACTCTAAGGTGGTGTATAGTAATACAGTATATAATTTAACGCTGGGTTTGTCTATGGCAGCATATAGTACGGGCTGAGTGTGAAATGGACTCGAACCTGCACCTCTGCATTGCAAGTGCAGTGAGCTGACGCCCCCCGCGTGTGGAGGGTAAAGTTGTGGGTACACCCACCCCGCTCCAACGGGTCTGGACCAGCGTGGAAGAGTAGACCAAATACCCCACATCGCGGCCTCTAGTGGAGGCCATTGCTGCCACGACAACAAATCCGTCCCTCCAGATACAAAACAACTAAATGTAACTCATCCCATCAGCCACAATCTGGCAGTGCCTCTCCTCATCATCAGCAGCAGGCCGCGCTCTGCTTGGAGCAGCGCCGTGAACTCAGCAGGCGCCCAGAGCGTAACGGCTGTGAGCCAGGCGCCTCCTCTGCCTCCCCTCTCCACCACCGCCACTGCTGATGTGTCCACACGGTGCAAGGTTCTCACCTTGTTCGGGCTGAGTCGATGTAGAGGAGGACCAGCCAGCGAGCCGCCGCTTCAGCAGCGACGGTGGCCGCGAGCGGGAATCCAAAACAGCCGCTCGCCACCCACAATGCACAGCGCTGCCTCCACTCGCCCCGGCCTCGGCGGGGGGAGGGGCGGGGGAGAGGGGGCGGGGCGAGGGGGGAGAGGGGGGAGAGGGGGCGGGGGTGGGCATGGGGGGGGGGCTCGGGTGAGGGGGCGGGGCTCCACGTCTCGGTGGGCGTGGTCACCTGGTACCGCCCCCTCGTCTCGAGCCACGCGCTTCCCCCTGGCAGTTGGTCCGTGAGAGAGGCGGGGAGAAACTCTGGCGAAGGTGAGGAGTGGATCCTCGCTGTGGGTGGGTGGTGCGGTGGTGCGAGTCTGTGTGTGTGGTGTGAGTCTGTGTTTGTGTGAGTCCGTGTGTGTTTGCATCCGTGTGTGAGTCTGTGTGTGTGTGGAGTGGTTAACGCGCTGCGCTATGAACCCGGTGACCCAGAATTGGATTCCCGCTCAAGGTCAACACCAGTGACGATTATATGAACCGGTCCTGGGCCTCCCCTAGGTCGACTCAGCCTCAAATGAGTACCTGGTGTGGTGTGTAAATATCGCCACTCGGAGACAAAGGCGCGGTGTTGGCCACCCACGCCCTCGTGTGCTGTTCCGGCCTTCATAGGTGATGCTGGCTAACAGCACTTGCCCCAACAGTTTATTTCAGCTATAAGGGGGATCTTTATCTTTGATGTTCGTGGTGGTGTTGGTGGTAGTGTTGTTGGTGGTGTTGATGGTGGTGCTGTTGGTGTTGTTGGTGGTGGTGCTGTTGGTGTTGTTGGTGGTGCTGGTGACGGTGTTGATGATGGTGATATTCTTGTTGGTGGTGGTACTGGTGTTGTTGGTGGTGATGTTGATGGTGTTAGTGGTGTTGGTGGTGGTGTCGGTGGTGGTTCCAACGAGCCATCCTGGGTTTAACCTAGCTGGATTGTGTGAGGAGCTCACAAATCCTTGAAGGATCTGGACACATTCCCACCGGTAAGCTCCTCCGGCAGGCAAGGCTGCGTTGGCTGGGTCTTGTAGCCCGCATACCCAAGCGGTTTCTTTTTGGCCGCATAAAGGGGGCTAAACGGCCACGACATGGGCTGTCGAAAATATGGACTGATGCTGTATGGGAGGATGTTGAGTTGAGTGGACTTGTGAAAGACTGGTACCAGCGGTGTAAATAGCATCCTTCACGAGGAAGCTCGTAAAGGAGGCTACTGGACAGTTGGAGGCAGTCTGCCTCCAACAACAACTGAGGGCAGAGGAGTGACGCTCACAACGAGTGGCGGATAAAATTCGGCAAGTTGGCACAGTTGGGCATACAGCTGGTGTATCTACCAAGCATCTCAGCCAACCTTTGGAACCTGGGTCTGTCCCGTGACGTCTTGTCAGCGAGCCTTCGACACTTCGCGTGGCCTGAAAGTGCACCTGGCCTGGCACAGGCGCCGTGGTGACATCATCGCTACTTAGTGGCGAATGTCGGTTGTTGTTTTTGTGTTTCGTGTTGTGAGTGATTGTGTTGATGATGTGGGTTCATGGTGTGCGTCCGCATTGTGACTTGACTCGTGTTGAGATGTGGGTGCCGTCACACCCCCTCGACTCTATGTGATCCTCGGCTTCGTCTCCTGCTTCGCACGCAGAGACCTGGACTGCGCGAGAGACGCTGTGAGTTCTGTGCACCCTGCTCTGCAAGTTGCCACCATGGAGGTACGTGTGGCTCTTCGACTCGTGTGGTGAAGTATTAATGGACGTGTGCTCTCCACTCCGCGTGTGGCTGTCACCTATCCATACACCTAAGTGTGCATCTGCTTGGCTGCCTGAGTGTGTGTGCATCTATCAGAGTATCTCCCCAAGATCCTCTCTGTGTACCTGCCTTTCTACGTTTTAATAATCTACTGTACTTTTATCTATCCACTACTGGATAAAGGCCTCCTTCCTTGAGACCCTGCTACCCCTCACGATCCTGCGATGGAATAATCCACCAAGCACCGATTTTGTCGCTCCATCTTTCTAGCAGCCGTCCTCTCAGACGTGTTCTGATACTTGGCTGCACCTCCGTTATTGTTCTTGACCATCAGCCATCGTTGTTCCTCGTGGTCGTGGCATGTCCTGGCCCAGCCCTACTTCTCTTAACAGTTTGAAGGATGCCATTAATCTGCGTGTGTCCTTTAAATACACACGTGTCTCATTGTTAATCCAAGTGTGACATCTGACATTGGCCAAATATCTGAACGCTGAGAACTGACATCTCAGCAGGACCCTCCTGAATGTGGAGCCCAGGATCTCAGAGATCCTGGCTCAGTGCTTGCCGCTTGCACTATCCCCCACATCTTGCTAAAGCCTATGTGGTGGACCTTTGTCTTTGTGTGGGTGTAGATGAGCCAATCTGGAGAGGCGAGGAATAAGGGCGAATCTTGTACCACGTGGAGGGCGCTGTCCTCAGAGGGCACCATCTGCATCAAATCACCGCAAGGTAAGAACAGGAATGAGGGATGTCACAGAGGGCCATGGGGAATGGTGGAACATCCCGATGGCCATGTTGCATGGTGGATGTCACAGTGGCCATGATGCATTGACGATTTCATAGCGGCCATGATGCATGAGTGATATCCAGGTGGCCAAGTTGCATGGGGGACTTCATGTTGGCAGTGTTGTATGGGGGACTTAATGGTAGCCATGTTGCATGGGGGACTGCACCATGGTGGCCATGTTGCATGGGGATGATTATTTGTGCTCTGGCCTCAGCACATCACACGCTTTCAGATGCGCTTCCGATATTAGGAAGCCACTGGAGCGATACACTTTTAAATCATCTAGATTGAAAACTCATTTCTTGAGAACTTATTTGGGGCATCAAGTCCGATTTAGTTACATTTAATTTGTATCCCGAAGCACCTCCATATTCCGTCACTAAGGCCAGAACGGCGGGGAATGAGGCCTCCGAATTTGGGTGATGAGCAGGCGTCGCCACCCCACGCCAGCAGGGGGCGGCATAAGGGTAGCCGGTTCGTGAAGACCTGGCCCACGCCGCCTGGAACAGTGGAGAAGTATCAAGAAGCGTGATAAGGGAGGGTGGCTTTCTACAAGGGGTAGGAGTGGTCCCTTCATCGCGCCTTCTTCTCTCGTGATTAGACTGCTCTTTCTCTCCATCGCGATGCTCAATGTTTACTTTCAGTCGGAACGCTCCGGATCGCTACACCGGGAATAATTTTGCACTCGCACTCACCAGCGTGATGAAATATTATCAAATGACCCCCATTGTTAACGCGACGTACGGGAAGGGCCTTCATCCGTTGTGCTGAGAATGACTGGAATGGATTTTATTTTTGACGCATGCTGCAGTATCCTGCATTTGGGGAGTGGCAGTTTCTTGACAGTCTAATTGGGGACAGTGAAAACACAGGAGTTGTCAGATATTGCCACACTCGGAATGAGGAAACTGAGAAGTGATGGGAGTGGAAGTGGAGGGCATTTGTTCCAAAGAGGACGTCGCCGATACGTTCCACGTCCTCATTGGGGTTTCCTTCTGGCTCCCCGTGCGCGACCGTGAGGCTGAGATCGCCCGAGTCTTGGGCCATGCGACCCGCGCTCTGTGGTGGCGACATGTGGGCAGAGAGCCGCGTCACTCAAACAATTGCTTGGTCACCAACTCAAGAGGCAGAGATCCCTCCCATCGCCTCAAGAGACCGCCGGGGCAAATGTTGCGAGCGAACATCTGCTAAGGCCGGGACGGCACATGAGGGGGTGAAGTGGCCAGCACGGAGTGGGTGGCCAGAACTAGGCCCGGCTCACTCTGTCTCCCCAGTGATCAACCCTTGCCTCCATTCGGACGAATGGCCAAGTGAGGGAACAGCTGATGGGAAGCAGGTGGCCAGGGTGGGTTGATGAACAGTCAGCTGGATGAGTTCTGAACATGTTGCAGGTTGGTGTGTAGAGACAAGGGTTAAAGGGTGACCGATAATAACAAAATGTGAAAGCTGCCTTCTGTTTACCCAGGAGAGCCCTACTGAGTCTTAAGACATTATCAGGAGGCTCCCGCTAAATTGGAATGTTTGGCCAATTGAATGGAGTGGTGCATGTGGGAAGAAACGGTACCAAGTAGAACGCCATGCATATGACAAGGATGCACCTCAATGATACGGATAGATGGAATCAAGAATCCATCGATGCACGCCTTCGACTAGTCATCTGGTGGCCTAAGCCCACAACACCCGGTATTCCCAGGGAGTCTCCCATCTAAGCACTAAGCCCAGGCCTGCTTACTCTCCCAGAGTCAATGAGATTGTGTGGTGTATTCAAAGCCATTGGGTTGAAGGTAATCGACAGGCAGAGCGAGTGGTGGGCGCGTGGATGGCAGTACAAGCGGCTGATGTAGACCGCTCTGATTGGATAGAGGTGATCGAGCCAGATGATTGCGTAAGGAGTAGCAGAGTGATGCATCGTAGCCGTGATCACACATCGAGTCGTCAAGCAGGTATTGTGTGCAATGCAGTAGAAACCAGTTCTGAACTGTCACACCGGTGGTGAGAGGCTGCTGACTTGGGGATGTTTGCTCCAGCTCCAATTCGGAGTTGGGCCAACTGTAAGAAGAGAGGCCGCACACTCGAACTTGGGCTGGCCATGACCATTTTACCAGTGGTCGAGATCCTCCCGCGAGCTCAGGGAGGCCGGCTCGGGGCGCTGGCACTGTAAGTCGGCCACGGCGAGGGTCTGGAAGTATGGGGATGTCTGCTGCGGGCGGCCGCCAGACGGGACGCCGGGTCGCTGTGCGGCAACGACGACGACGGGGAGGACGATGATGAGGGCGACGGGTGCGAGCAGCAGGGGCAACAACTGCGACAGAAAAAACTGATGAGGCATTGGCGCTCACATAGAGGATAGCGCACCACGTTCCGGACCTGGCGAGCCGAGTTCGAGTCAATCTCACGGTTAAGAATGGCAACAGCAAACATCACAACCGATTCCCCATCTTCCTGTGCGCTTCTCGTGATCACCTGGCTTATAATAGTTGCGCATTTACAAATGTACCAACTTACTTAGATTCAGATGAATACGAGAACCTGGTGTGGCATGTAGTGAACGTCAGCACGGGGGAGACGAAGGCAGCCGGCCATGGCTCTGGTCACACCACCTCCCTTGTGTGCAGTGCCGTTCTTCATAGGTGCGCACTTGACCTCATATTCTGTGTAGGCTACAAGTGTGCAAGTGTGTGCAAGTGTGTATATACAATGGAGTGTAGAGAGTGGAAAGTGGAGAGTTTTCTAGATCTGGGCAGTGTGCTTATGATCATCTCCGGTTTGACAGCAGAGGTCTCACTCTGAATCAGTCAGGCAGCATTATATATTAATCGGCTGTCTATACTTGTGAAATGTGGACCCCTGTCATGGAACATCTGCGCTGGTTTGAAACATTTAGGCTGGCCTCTCTACAATCCATCCTTGGTTTAACCAGGCTGGATTGTGTGAGGGGTTCACAAATCCTTGAAAGATCTGGACACAGTCCCATCAATTAGCTCCTCCAGCAGGCAACGCTGCATTCGCTGGGTCATGTAGCCCTCATGCCCCACCACCGCATGCCCAAGCTGCTTCTGTTTGTCCAGTTAGAGGGCTAAAAGGGCAATAAATGGGCTGGATTAGAGATGGACTGATGCAGGACTGGAGGATGTGGAGCCGAGTGGACTTGCTGAAGACCGGTACCAGCGGTGTCAAGATCGGCCTCTGTGGATGAGGCTCGTAAAGGACGCTGCTGGGCAGTTGGAGGCAGTCGCCCTCCAGCAACAACGGAGCGCGGAGGAGCGACGCTCACAACAACGAGCGGAGCGCTGGGTGGCTAAAGCACAGCAAGTTGGCACAGTAGGGGGCACAGGTGGTGCATCAGCCAGTCATCTCAGTCATCTCAGTCAGTCGACCCGTGGCACCTGGGTCTGCCCCGTGACCTCCTGCCAGCGGGCGTTCGACACTTCACGTGGCCTCAAGGTGCACATGGCCTGGCACAAGCGTCGTGGTGATGTCACCGCCACTTAGTGGCGAATGGCGGTTGTTGTTGTTATTGTTGTGACTATGGATCTCTATGTAAATCTTCGTGACTCTATGGGTGTCTCTTGGAGGAGAGTGACAAGAGCAGGGGGGGTTCTTACCATAGGCAGCTAGAGACGAAGTCTACCAAGGTGGGGTCGTGAGTGGCGATCGCCTCGTGGAGCGGGTAGCTCCCTGAGAATATTCTCTCATTCCAAGGCATCCCCGAGCCGTCTGTGGGAATGACGAGATACAGGAGGAACACTGTCACAAACCACGTCGGCCTCGCACAGCCGCCAGTGCAGAAATGCAAAAAATTTAGCATGATGACTCAGCGTGGGGTTGGGATCCGCCACACCATCCTGGGTTTTGACTGCGGTATTAATTTTTACCGTGAAATATTTTGCAAGTGCCAGTTAAATACCCCCGTAACATCATTCCAAAGGAGTAGACCGTTGTGTGCCAACGTCATGGTCCGAATTAGAACATTTACACTGCCAATGACTTAATTGGGACGAGACATGGCGACATTAACCCTGACGTGCAATTACTTCGGGCTTCGTCTGTGATTTCCCAAACCTCAGATTAGCACTGTTGGTTTTGTATGGTGCGAAATAAACTAAACGTACATATATAGCTGTAAACTTTTAGAAGAATGCACATACTAAATATGCTACATTTGTATTAACTATTATGTTAAACCCTATAGGATCAATACATAGGTTTTATTAACTTTAATTTTAATTCACAATTCATATTTACCGCTTGAAACCTATAGCCCCGACAACCAACGTGAATCACAATGGTGCATTATATATCATAAGGCATGGTTGGTCGGAAATAATTCATGATCTATTAATATTTTTTTCGTCGGGCCAAGATCTGTCCAATTTTGCATCGTAATACCCTCCACCATCCTACGCAGCCAAACAAAACAAATGGTCATGACGTGTTGTATAAGCGTTTGATGGCGGCTTATGATCTCGTCTTCTGAATGTTTGATGCAGTGTCGAGCGAAGCGTCATTATCTCGTTGGCAAATTTGGTTGTTGTGAGGATTTCTCTTCAACGTGTCCCAGTGGTTGCGTTTAAACGACCATAATTGGTGTGTCGTTTCAAAGCTTGTGCATGTGGCCATTCAATTTGTTTTGGCTTTTCGAGTGGCAGATGGTCCTAAGGACACAAACATGATCAGCTATCACCCTCCGCTGCAACTCACCAAAGTATTGATCCTTGCAGGGAGCAGTATCCCACGCAAACCCAGGAGGCACACCAGGACCTACACACGAGGCAGACAAAGACAAAGGTCCCCCATGAAGCCTTAACAGATTTTTGCAGAAATTGCTATTAGCAATCACCACATTAGGTACTCGTTTCAGGCTGCGCCAATCTTGGGGAGACCCAGGACTGGTTTAGAAAATCGTAACTGACGTTGATAGTCAGTGGAAATGGAACTTGGGTCGTGCAGTGACCACTACCCTACCGTTCCCCACGTATTAGGCACAAGCAGCATTAATGGCACGGTTCGACCTCAGGCCATTCGCACGAATTTCAGCGGTTGTAATCTGGTGGCTGTCCTGGATAATTCTAGGATTTGTATTATTAACTGTAAAATACTCTGCACTATCTACTTCATTCACAGCGCGGGTTGGAGACCCCATGATGTCACTGGAAATTAGTCAGCGATTGTGGTCCCGCGTCACAGCCCAAATTCGCCAAGTTACTCGCAAATTAATAAACTGTGGTTACACAACTGCAGACGCAGCAATCATTGCTTTATACTGGCAGGCTGACGCCCGTTTGTAGGCTAACTTCTGGCTCGTATTGTGCCCAATCAGCTACTCGACAAAAGATGTGGTGAAAGTCATTGCATGCCAAGTGCTCTGAGACGCTCAATGTAAACGGTGCTTTCTGAAAACCAAATACGTATCGAGAAAAACAACCACGAGTGATTGCAGCAATCCCTGGCCAACCGTAAAATCGTGAAGTTAGCAACTGGGAAGTTTGAGTATACGCGGATTTATTTCTGTATACCTGTGTAGCGGCATTGTTACGCGCAACATGTATACTTACCAGCGTAGCCGTATTGTATGGGTCATGTACCTCTAGTGGCGCCCTCAGTGTGTAGGGGGCGCAGAACAGCCAAGGGGGCTGTTGAGTGACGGGTGTACGACCCAAGACTACAATAACCGTTGAGGGAGGGGGCTGGGGGGCCAACGGTCAGACCCAGACCCTCTCGAGAGAAGGCGGTTGGGAGAGAGGAGTATAAAAAGGGCAGCTCTCCCAGCGTGAGTCAGTCCGCACTCACCTCAAGACCCGAAGACATCTAGATAGCGCCCTGGCACTTCCGACCCCCGGCCCTTGTCAGGGCCAGGTCTGAATGGCCCAGTGGCGGCACCCGTTACCCTGGCAAGGTCGGGTGAGCATAGGCTCCCCTAGGTCCCTTAGTGGAGGAATTCCCGATAGCAGAGTATAG